TTCCTCCTGTGGGAAACCCTCCCAAAGAGGAAGTATGATTTTTCTGGGTGAAAAAAATATAATAATCAAACGCAGTTCAAATTCCAGCCTTGAAAATCTGACCCTTTGTTTTAAGACATTTGGTTTTAGATACTCAGGAATATCTTTCCCTTAGTAACGGGCTTACCACCCTGCTTGTGATGTGAGTGCCAAGGCCAGCAGTAAAAGAGGAAATGGAGATTAAAAGATGTGCTGCTTCCAAGTACAGAGACAGAGCTAACCACCAACTTACCAAACTGACAAAGTGGCAATGAAGGCTTGAATGGCAGATCATAGTGTCACCCTGCTAAGTCGTAAGATATACAGACAATAGTGAAACTTTGTGTGTTACCATCAGAAAGGATGTTTTAACTGATATCTATCTTAAGAATTTCATGGGAGAGTTAATCCTGCTTTTTTGGAAGCAGTTCTATGCAATTTCTGGTAGAACAGCAATGGAGTCCATTCCCTGTGCTAAAATAGTAACTGTTCGATTCAGTGTGATCGCTGAATTTAAAACCAGAAACAGCAAAAGCCGATTGTTTCTTTAAATTTAATAATAGTTAATTGTGGGGCAGCAAATCATTATTAAGCTCAACTGCAATTTCAGAGTTTCTCTCAACCCTGTCTCCTTGCTTTGTCCTTCTCAGTCAATCCCCTTACTTTATAAAAAGCCCGAACTGCATCCTAAATCGGTTTTAAACTCCTGCCTTTTATTGCCCTGTCAGTTTACAATATAGCTCTTTTGTTCACTTCGTCCCACAAATTCAATTTCCTAGGGACCGGATCCTCAGCCAGCCTAAGCTGCCGTCGCTCTATCAAACAACCACCGCTCTGCTGATCCCGGTGATCGAGCTCTCTCCTATTAATCATTGGCCCTTTCCCTCCATCCCCCGGGCAGATTGCAGGCTGCTGGCAGGGTTCCTCTATCATCTGTTCATTCACTACTAACGCTATTCAGCTTTGATGGGGCCAGCCTGGCTCTCTGAGCACCCAGCAGCAAAGCAGCTATTGATCGCACCGTGGGGAAGCCAAGTCAAGCCCTACAAAGACACAAGACGTTGTATTGCGAGAGCTCCACGCAAACTACAGGGCAGTTAATTCACTAATGATTTGTTTTCGGTCTTGCTTGTGTCATAGTGAGGTGCTGCTGGGAGAATGAGGTTGGTTTGCGTGATCATTGTCAGGAGGATTTGAGAGTCAGGTCACAAAAGGCGAGTTTTGGGCTGTGCTCCAACGAGGACACACCTTGGTAACTGTAAGGCACGTTGCCAAAGGCCTCCCGGATGAGGGAGGAGAGATTATACGGTCTGTGTGGCCTGATTACATATCTCACGTAAAACTGCCAGGTAAAAACAGTATGAAGGACTAAATATTTGCAGCAGAAAGAGTGAATATGGTTTCACTTGCATCACGTTACTCCATCTACACTCTGGCTTTCCACAAAGAAGAAAGTTGCACCAGGTCCGTCACATTTTTAATTACATGCTACTCTAAAAGGATAACCAAATTATTAAGATAAACCATATATGCTTTAAAGAACAAAACTGAATGATTGACATATTTGGCTCTAAATCAACTTTAAGGCTTAAAATTTTGAAGAGTGTTACTGGGAACTATAATGCTTTCTAACCTCTCTCATGGTATTTTGTCAATGATGGCAGGCATTAAAATAACACAGAGGAGCTTTAATAAACAAAACGGTGCTTGGCATTTTGCAGCCTATGTTTTGGTTCATTGTTTAAATGGCAGTGCCTTTACTGACCAAGTGAAATATATTCTTCACAGGATTTAAAACATAGTGAACATTAAAAAGTCTTAATTCAAATAATTTCTTTATGTCTCCTTTTGCAAATTTGGAAAGGTTCTGAAAAACTTGCAAAGCTCATCCATGCAATTATTGGGGAGTGTATTACCTTAAATTAATTAATGATCTGTAGTTATTTTAAGGAGATGATTTTAAAAGTGTTTTAAAGAGTTTAATCTTATAGCATTGCAGTATAAAATACAGTATCTAGCACTACAGCATAACAAAATGCACAATTACAGATGTAGCTGACAGCAAACAAACGGCATATGTAAATACAGACACAAACAATTTGATATGCAAATACCCATCATGGAGAAACAACACAGGCTTAATTTGTTAATACCGTATAAAAAGAGAAAAGCATTAAAAAGTCAAGGAAGTGGTGTGTGTTGACTTACTTCTTCCTCAATCAAATTACTTCTCCCTGAAATAACATTTATTTTCCTTGACTCACATTTTGGTGCACAACTTGGTTCTGTTTCCACTGTAAAAACAGTCTTACAGATTTAATATCCGTACTTATCATATAGGCTTTTAATCCTCTGAAGATTTAAGTGCAGAGCTAGCTTAATGCACAGAGTAGCCCTGGTTGTTTCAGTCTGTGTTTTCTGCCTGTGGAACATCAATGAGACACAGCCTTTGTTTTCACCGACATTACTTTTGAGTAACCATTGCTTTCTATTTTTCTGACAAAATTACTTTTTACTATAGCTGTAGTTCCCTGAATACCAATATTTTTATCCAAATGTATTTGTAGCCTTGATGCGGCTTCCTAATATGAGGACACTGAATTTAAATGCTATACCATTTCAGCTGGTGGAACATCAATGAGACACAGCCTTTGTTTTTACCGTCATTATTTTTGAGTAACCACTACTTTCTATTTTTCTGACAAAATTTCTTTTTACTATAGCTGCAGTTCCCTGAATACCAATATTTTTATCCAAATGTATTTGTAGCCTTGATGCGGCTTCCTAATATGAGGACACTGAATTTAAATGCTATACCATTTCAGCTGGGAATCTTCAGGGAGTTTCTGGCAGGTGGGCCAGAGGACCTGTGATCTCTGCATTGTCCAAGGACTTTTTCTCCAGCTTCCCCTCAAAAACCCCTCCTGGGCTGCATCAAGAGAAGCATGGCCAGTAGGTCATGGGAGGTGATTCTACCCTTCTGCTCTGCTCTGGTGAGACCCCACCTGGAGCACTGTGTCCAGCTCTGGAGTCCTCAGCACAAGAAGGACCTGGACCTGTTGGAATGGGCCTAGAGGAGGGCCACGAAAATGATCAGAGGGCAGGAGCCCCTCTGCTGTGAGGACAGGCTGAGAGAGTTGGGGTTGTTCAGCCTGGAGAAGAGAAGGCTCTGGGGAGATGTTATAGCAGCCTTCCAGTATCTGAAGGGAGCTACAGGAGAGCTGGGGAGGGACTCTTTGTCAGGGAGTGTAGCAGTAGGACAAGGGGGAATGGTTTTAAACTGAAAGAGGGGAGATTTAGATTAGATACTAAAAAGAAATTCTTTCCTGTGGGGGTGCTGAGACACTGGAACAGGTTGCCCAGAGAAGCTGTGGTTGCCCCATCCCTGGAGGGGTTCAAGGCCAGGCTGGATGGGGCTTGGAGCAACCTGGTCTGGTGGGAGGTGTCTCTGCCCAGGGCAGGGGGTTGGAACTCCATCATCTTGAAGGTCCCTTCCAACCCAAACCATTCTATGATTCTAAAAGCCCTCTGTCATCCTCTTCTCGCCTGCCATAACCCTCCCCTTTCAGCATCTCATCCCACCCTGTGGTGCTCCATGCCACAGTGTCCACACTGCTGCCCACGTTTTATGTCATTCTGCCCCATGCCCCCTTTGCCCTCTTGTTGCTCACCTTCCCCTCCTCTCTCCTGGCTGAAAACAGGAGAGGAGCTGGCGGTGGAGTAGCCCTGGGTGACCTGGTGGCTTTCCACAGGGATGATACCCTGCTTTGGATGGGCAAGTGAGGCTGAAGGACCTGCACGTGTGGGTGAGGAGAAAGCAATTCGCAACAGAGAGGTGGTTAATGAATGGCTTAGAAAAAGCAGTTAGAAGTCTCACTAGGCCCTCAGTAAAGAAAAAAAATGTTCAGACTCCTCCATGAGTAAATTTCAGTCCCAGACATGTCCAATTGTATGGGTGTTTCTTAAAGGTATTCCACAAAATGCATCCATCAGCTCCAGTGGCAGCTTCAATAATCCAACTAGAGCCATGGTTAGGAGCCCAGAAGTATTGAATTCCTGTACTTCACACTGTTCCCTAGCATTTGTCAATTGAAAAGCTTTTAGCCTAGTTGATTTCAGGGCAAATGTTTCCCTTTGTCCCCCTCAAACCCATTACTTCTGGGATCTGGAGGGCCAGGAGTACAGCAGAGCAGAAGGCTGTAGTCACAGCACCAGGAGGAGAGGAGCCAGCCTCTGGCACCCCTTTGAACCCAGTGTCAGTGGGACAGGCTTTCCACCTGCCGGGTGAAGCAACTCCTCACCTTACAGAGTCAACACACACTCTGAAACTTGCAAGTTTGATGTCCAGCTCTGACAAGGGGCAGGTTTTGCTGCAGCACATGGAGTCCAAAGCTTCCAGAAACAGCTAAAGGAGCATCTCCGGTACCAGCAACCAGAACTGCTGAGGAGCTGCTGGTTTGCTGCATTTCTCTAAGATGTAGAGCAAAAAAAAAACCAAACAAACCAAACTTTCCCTACCTAGACTTCCTCTACTAACCTTTACGCTTGAGGTTTATGCTCTGACCTTGCCAAATCATCACCTGGTGGAAACAACAGAGCTCCATTGTCTTACGGGAGCTAAACTTGTTTCCTCCACTGAGAATCTATTCCACTGACTTTCAGCTCCTCCATCAAGAAACCCTTTGTAGTATGCATTTGCTTCTCTGTAACACGAGGTGTATTTTCTTGGCTATTGAAGGTAACTAAGCAGCAGAGAGAACAGGGTCTTTTAAACATCTTTTTTCACATGTTCACGTGCTGCCTTTAATCGCGTTTGCAGGCAGATGTCAGCCTTTCAAGCCCAGCTCTGAGGATGTCAGTGGTGCCCTGAGATGAGGTCTCTGCACTGCCAAAGGCCACGTCACCATCTCAGCCTGTCACAACACTTAACCGGGAAATTATTTTTACTATGGAAACTAATTTCTTTGGCTTTTCTGCTTTAGGCTCTTCAGACGTACCAGACTGATCCTGTCATGAGAAAGATGCTAACTCAGCTGTATTTCTATGTCATGCCTGTATTTAACGTGGATGGATATCACTTCAGCTGGACACATGTAAGTAGTATCAGTGGTATTACCCAAAAAATTGTTCAGACAGGAAAGATCGAATGGTTGCTACATCATTTAAAGGTGATTTTCTGTATAATTTGATCCATCACTTTGTGGCATGCAAAAGGGGAGTAGATTAGTCCAGTTAAAATATAATACTGAATATGTTTACCAGAGTTGGTTTGTTATGTGTACAAATTGATTTTTGCCAAAATACAGTAATATTATTATTTATTTTATAACTTATGATAGGATCGATTTTGGAGAAAAACAAGATCAAAGAACACGAGGTTTCGGTGTCATGGTGTTGATGCTAATCGCAACTGGAAAGTGAAATGGTGTGGTAAGTCTGGAGATACTTTGGTCCACTAGTTCAGATTACCCTGTATTTAATTATCCAGGAGAGTAAGTAGGTTAGATCACATCCCCTTGTGCTCTCTTTTCCACGGTTAAAGGTTGGTTTGTTATGTGTACAAATTGATTTTTATTATTATTAACTATTTTATAATCTATGATAGGATCGATTTTGGAGAAAAACAAGATCAAAGAACACGAGGTTTCGGTGTCATGGTGTTGATGCTAATCGCAACTGGAAAGTGAAATGGTGTGGTAAGTCTGGAGATACTTTGGTCCACTAGTTCAGATTACCCTGTATTTAATTATCCAGGAGAGTAAGTAGGTTAGATCACATCCCCTTGTGCTCTCTTTTCCACGGTTAAAGTTGAAGGTACTTCCCCATAAAGCCACAAGCCAGGGCTCAAATCTTCCTTCTCGCTTCTGAAAAAATAAAGTTCCTGAACTTTGGAAAGACACATCTTATCGAAAGTTAAAAGTTTTTATGGCTAGTGTGGCAAAGGCAAAACACCACACATACAGCTGTTGTGTATTTCTGCAATCATCTAAATAACTTGAAGCACAGTAATGAGCCTGGCCCATTACATTTCAGGATTTACCTGACTACAGCTTCAGGAAACATTTAAACTTCATTTTATTTAATTTGTCATTTCTCTGAAATGGCTTTAGCTTTGGAAATGTCAGACTTGCACTGCTTGCCTCACAGAGAAATGTCTGAGAATATTTTAAGACCATTATTATTAGTGATTTAATAAAGAAAGAAGGTGCTTCTGAACGCAGGGAGATCCAATTTTAAACTCCCGGCACTTCTGTAAATACTTTCATGAAAATCGACCTCAGTTTTGCATAGAGAAGGCAGCAGTAATGAAACACTCGCAGATTTGGAATGGGTCCACTGAAGAAGAAGTGGTGCTTTATTAAATTTCACAGCGAGACAGTGCAACTCACACAGGAGTGAGCAGCCACACGAGTTCTGGCGCAGCAGAAATAGCACTTTGCTGTGAGACACGGCGATACACACCTGGCTTTTCTGCTGACCTGCTCTCCCAACCCTCAGCAACTTCCTTCACCTCTCTGCGCAGCTGCTTTCTCATCCAGCATTCATCCCCCTTCCTTATTTACATCGTAATCTTGTAAAGACAGAAATGGTGTTTGCACAGCGCTAGCGCAACGGCCCTGCCTTCAGCCCATCCCTCTTCCACTGGAAGCCTCTAGATGTTTCCACAACACTCCGATTCCTTGCAGCAGGAGAAAGCACCGTACAGTCCAGCTTGCTGTGATTGGATTCTTTAAGTAGATTTTTGAGAACTGTAAGGGTAAAAATGGGGAGATTACAAGGTGTGAGTGAACAGAAGCATACGTTCAATACAGTAAGGAATTGTGAAATATGCTACCCATTTTTTGAGTGAACAGAAGCATACGTTCAATACAGTTAAGGACTTGTGAAATATGCTACCCATGTTTTTTTCACTCTGCTCACAGTAAGGAAATGACTGACACAGAAGCATTTACAGAAAGCCTGTGTTGGCCAAGAATCCCTCCACTACAGAAGAGTCCCAGGGCTGCTATCCTGATCTTTAAGGCAAATTTCTGCTGCAAAAATAATCTAAAAATGAATCAAAGTCCTGCATCACTCTTACCATCCTGTACCTAAGTGTGTAAGTCACAGCTGCAGGTATTTTGGGGACATAAATTCACTGTTCAGAAGATGGCCACAGGCATAGTTGGAATGAACAGTTCTCTTACAAAGTCTTCAGAGCCATAGTATGGGTACCTGTCACTGCAACATTAATACTCACTCAGTGCATTTTCTTTCTAGTCCTAATGAATCTTCCTCGGGTTCAAATCACTCTGCTCCTCCCTCTTCTTGCCCCCCAGAGGCTGTATTAAAGCACACTTTTTTACTCAGTTCCGAAAACGTTTGCCTAGTTTTCAGTAAAAAACCATTTTTTTCTAGGCTAAGTGAAGCTATCACAAAGCACACACACATTGTGTGTTGTAATCCACTACTTGTTGCCTTTCTCCACTTCACCGAACATCAAAGATGGGTCCCCACCCCAGTTTAAAAAATAAAAATTCATTCAAGGTTGCTCGTCATCCCACCCCAAGCACATGCTCTGCTTCCCACACCTGATCCCAAAACTCCATCTGATTCTTTATTTTGCCAGAGAATAAAGCGTTCTTTCATGAACTGTGCTGACTGGTGCTCAAAAGGTCCTCACCCAGCACCCCGTATTCTCATTAACCTGACACTAAATGAGGCAGAGAAGAATCCAGACCGTATCACACTTTGAGGCTTGAATAAATCACAGTGTGTTTGACATTTCATACTACCTAGGTTTGTAAAAACCTTTTAATTCGGTTCAGTCGCACTCGGTGGAGATTAGGAGACGGTTTGGAGATTAGGCTTGAACTTCACCCTGGGGCTTCCAGGTGGGTGTGTTGTGGCAGAATCCGGCCCCAGCAAAGCCACTGAACCAGTTGGTAAAGATAACACAGCATCCCTTCTGCTTTCCTCTTCCCTCCCAGTGCAGGGCTTTGATGTAAGCTTTGTGATGGTGCTTCTGCATTCTCTAGAGGCCGAGAAAAGGGCCGTATCGCTGATGGTGACAGATTTCGCTTTGCAGTGCCCTGTGCCCAAAATAATGTACAGATATTGCACACAGACCCTGGTGAATACTGACAGCAAGATCTCCGAGTGGAAATGCTCCTTGCAATATATATCTACCTGCAATAACTAGCACAAGGGTTTTAATGTTCATGAAATAAATAGCAATTTTAAGGCCAGTAATGCGGCACTTAGAACTGAACTATGTCATAGGGCCAATCCAGTTAAAGGGGTTTGGCAGGAGGGTTGGACTAGATGATCCCCAGAGGTCCCTTCCAACCCCATGTGATTCTGTGATTCTATGGGTTGCATCCAAAGCCCCCAAGAGAGCAGCAGTGGGGGTTAAAATTTCCAGTGCACCCCAATTTTCAGCGCATTGAGGACAGTTTCCCCACCCTGGGAAGAAGAACTGGCTGCAAGGAAGCTTGAGAACCATGCTGCAGCTCATCCATCCTCCCAGCCTGCCTTCTGTCCCAAAGCATGGGTTTTTATCAGTCCCTGCACACATTTCCTTTGTACATTTGATCTCCTGATGGATGTTGGAGGATTCCTCTCCTCCCCCGGTCTGCTATCAGGTACAAAAATAAGGCAGCATGGTGACATTTTGTGCGATGCCATTTTCTTGTCATGACTGTAACTCAGAAATTTCACAGGAGTTGATACATACGGTCTCTTTCTTGTGTTACTTTAGCAGAACTTCCAGTATGAAAATCAAGAATATCCTTACATTATCCAAGGCCACCATGGAAACCCTCTCTTTTTACTACCAGCTTCATTTAAGGAGAAACGTTAACTACAGCTGGGATTCCAATGTTTCGTGGCAGTAGGCTGGACAGTTTAGAGAGTTTTTTCTTCCCTGAAAGTCACTAAACTGGGTCATATTTTACCATGGGGTCATTTTACCTCTAGCTTGTAGGATTTTGCTGTTTATTGTCAGTGATGTCCTGTTTCATGATTCAGTATACAACACTGTTACGGGATACGTAGTATCCATGAAAAAAAAACCCAAGGGCTCTGGAGGGTCTGTTAAATAGCTCTCCTTTAGCTATATTATCTGACAAGACATCGAGGCAGAGTGCTCTTGGGATTTGGATGACTTGGTGGCCATCTGTTCTGCAGGGAGGAGACCATCTGCCCTCTCTATAACCCTCCCATATCCACTGCAATCGAAGCACTAATACTTTCTGAAATCCCCACCTGTGGCCATTGAATGCTAGCCTCAATTTTCATATTACAAATGAAGCTGCAGCATGAAATTCTTCCACTTTTTTTTTTGGCAATAGGTTGACTGCATAACCCCAGTTTTTTTCATATTACTATGCCTTCTCACACCGTGTTCTTATTATTTGAAGATGGGAGTACTTACTATACAAAAGAAAGATAATAAAACACTGCTTTTCTAAGTCCCTGATGACACCAAGGAATGTTGCAAACAAACAATTATTATTCTGCAGGTCAGTGTAAAACATGTGGCATTTTGAAACCACAGTGGATAAAAGAGCGGAGTGGATTTGCATAAATATTGTTCTTTTATGCCCAGGCCCTAAGCTGTAAATGAGACACAGTGGCTTAGATCCAGAATTGCTAAATGATAAAGGAGCCACTGCCACATCTCCTTTTCTGCGTTTCATCTTTCAGTACCTCACGGGATGTTGCACACGGGCTACACATCTGCAGCTTACTGCCACCAGAGCAGTGACATGGTGAAAGACACCCTCACAACCAAAGCCCTGCACCAAACTTGAGGCAAAAATAAGCCCTGTGCAAACGGAGATGATGTCTATTTTAGCTAACTGAGCAATCATCCCATGCGGCTTGTCATTTTTTCCCCATAAGGTTTGCAAGAGTAAAAATAGGCAGCAGTCAGGGACTATTCTCATGTTTTAAACTGGTCTCTAAGACAATGCCTTTTGAGGTTATCTACCTACCTACCATCACCGTAGTAGCTAGTATGTTAAAATGCTTTTAAAGGCTAGATTTGTCTTGGCAGTGACTAGTGGAAGAGGTCTAGCACTCTGGCTTCAAATAGAACAACTGAGACCTTTCAATAGTTTTAATACTGGAATGCTATCATAAAATGTGCCCCTCACACAGAAAGCCAGGGAAGGAAACACAGTGAAGTCAGACTCTCCTTTTTCTGTTGGGTTAAAAATATGTCCTTTGGGCAGAACTGCATGTAGTTGGCCAGTTGGCAACTGGGTGTATCTACTAGATGACTGAGCAGATTGCTGTGCTGAGGTCCCACTGGCTTCTTCAGTCACAAGAAAGCAATTTGTTTATTGCTTTCCACGCTTTTGAGTGCAGGCCCACACAGGCTGAGCCAGAAGCTGGTCCTCAGAAATTCTCCACGAGCACTTACCACCAACTTTCTTTTTCCATCTCTAGATGAAGGTGCTTCATTTCACCCATGCGATGACACCTACTGTGGTCCCTTTCCTGAGTCTGAGCCCGAAGTAAAGGCTGTTGCTCATTTTCTCCGGAAGCATCGCAAACAAATAAAAGCCTATTTGTCCTTCCACGCGTACGCGCAGATGCTGCTCTACCCTTACTCTTACAAATATGCAACTATTCCAAACTTCAGCTGCGTGGTAAGTACATTAAAGCTTGGGAGAATATGCTTCCCTTTATAATATTTTTTGGTACGTTTTGTTTTGAGAGGAGGCTTATTTCTTCAATGCTTTGCACATATTTAATATCGAGCAGTATTTATTCTGGTTCCGTTCGCAATCGCGTTTCTGGTTATATAACCTTCGTTCAAAGTGAGTCAGCGGTAATTTGATTAAAATGGTATAGTGCCTTCCATCCATCAGTCCCTTTAAATTACTTTATAGGATAAATCCCTGGGTTTTAATTATAGTTATTATCATTTTATTTAATTAACTGCAATGGGAATTGTGTAGTTAAGTCCTTGGGCATCTAGCTCAAATTCTGTCCCTTCACGCTCAGAACTTAAACACTAGAAGCACAAAGAAGATAATCTTCCATTCTATGAACAAAATAAAATCAAAATGGCTTATATTTATCAATTAGAGGAGAAATCTTGTTGATTTCATTGAAAGTAAAGCTTCCATCGCTTTATGTGTCATCCCGCTCAGACGTAGCGGCTTTAGCCCTTTAAGACAGGCAGCTGATTAACATCAGATGCTTTGGAGTTTTGTCTATTAGAAGAATAAATTAATAAGATTATGGTTTTTGATGCAAGCCTATTGATTTACAAATACGTACATTTCAGGTATTCCATGCTCATCCAAATGCAGGAGAACTACTCCCTCTGCTCACAGTTTAAGGCCTGTTTTTAAGCCTCCTGGACATAAAACCCTCCCTGTGGGAGGGAAATTCTTAGGGAAATGTGGCTCGAGCTTCACTCCTGCTCACAGACACAGATTGAACCAAACAGTAGCAAATCTCTTTCTTTTGCCCTCAGTCCATGGTAAAATTACATTGTCCCCGTATCTCCCATTTTGGCCTTGAAAGTTGCGGTGTCATTTAACTCACTAGTTTAAGCTAGTTTACTCCAAAAGGAGCTTAACTGCACCTTAGATTTATTCTGTGCAGAATAAATGATGTTGTTAGTCCCCGGAGCTTCGCTGAAGTTTCGCTCAGCTGCCCTCTCAGGAGGCTGAGCAGCCAGCACTCCACAAATTCAACTCTCTTTGTGGGTTTATTTCTGTTAAGACACTTAATTTCAGCAGCTACTAAAAATTCTCCTGCCTGACGTCATTCTTGGGAAACAGAGCAAATTAGAAGTTAACTAAGCAGCCAGAGCAGCTAAAAATATGAGACGTGGGGACTGGCCACCCAACCTTGCATTGACTGTGAATAAATCCATGAGCCTTCTTTTTATTCTATCATCTTCTTCATCCTCTTTTGTGGTATGTTCCCTGAGTGAACTGGTCACTGTTACTTACCAAAAAACATAGACTTGGAATTTACAACCATGGGATTTCATTCCTTTGAAGACCAGCAGGTGCAAGCATGTTTTTTTAAGAACAGACAAGACAGCAGAAGTTTAAAGACATAGGATTAGGAAGAATGAGCATTGGCTCTGCAAGAAGATGACTGCTGGGTATCTTGATGAAGACACATAATACTCCTGATGAGTAACATAAGGCAATACCAGGAAATTCTTTGTAAGGAAAAGGAGTTTTCACACATACAAGTAAATCTTCAGTATGTGTTGTTCTTGTTGCTCAAAGGCTATTTCCATTCTAGGGCAGGGAGTAACTGCCCCTCAGTGCACACACTCTACCTTTCCATCCACAGCTTTTAGACCAAAGGAGTGCAGTTTTTGATGAAGAGTAGGTGTTCTCCGGGTTTGTGAGACCTGGGATCAGGCTTCTCATCAGAGGGAGTGAAGCACAGACCTAAAGGGACAAAGAAAGACACTGTTTTAGACAACAGCCCTGGACAAATGGGAGCCAAATCCCAGTTCTGAATATTTTTTCCAGTATTTGGACTTTATACTTCTATTTATTGCAGTGGCTCAAAAAGAACAGTGAGGTCAGAATAAGAAGCTGAAGTAATTTCCTGTTATTTAGAAAGCTCATTATGGGGATCATAGTGAAAATGAATGGAATACTGTTGCTTATTTATTTGTTTTTTAATATTTGCCCACAGCCAAAGGCTCCATCCCCTGGTGGCTCTGAAATGAATAGTCCTTAATATTTGAAGTGTCTAAAATGGTGACTGAGGCTGAGGTTTCAGATTCTCCAGCTCTCTTGGGGAACTCCGGTGATCTCTATTCCCAAGCTTTGTTGGTCTACAAGGCCTGTGTACAGTGGGCAACTGTGGGACTCCACGTTCATAGCATGACATTTGGTGCTAACAGCGGGCCACAATTAATCCTGAGCAGAAGAAAGGATGTTTCTGTCTGGGTCGTATCATTCTAGTGAGCTGTCAGTTACCATTTCGATTAAAGTCTTCAATTATTCAGAGTTGCTTTGAAACTGGAGAGCTGTGTACTGATCACAACATGCATATTCTGTTCTAATTTAGGCACAACTCTCCTATTAACACTCTCCTGAAATCTGTTCTTTTAAGATACTTAAAACGAAAGAGCACTTCTGGATTGAAAAAAACAGCAGAAACATTCATCTACCTCAAGAGCTTTAACTTTCACCTACTTTTCATCCTTCTTCCTCCTGTACAGTCGTTTGCAGTGAACTTAAATGGCATGACTGAGTTTGCGTGTGTCTTTGTAAAAATCTGGTAATTTCTTGTGAAGCCTTCTCCTTGAGGATGTTCAAAGGCTGGTTGCCTGGATTTATTCAGGATCCAACCTGCCATGGTGTGACGCAGTTGAGAACTTTCCCCTTCTTTGAGTACATAACTCCAACAGTGGAAGCAAGCAGCACCCCTCAAGGCCAAGAGCATCAAGCTCACAGTGCCTGGGGACACCTGCCTACATAGTGGACGTGGGCTTGGGTCACTCCCAGGCTGCTTTTGGGCCATTGCCACCTCTGCACAGGACCCAGTACTGCTAGGCTGTTTTTAAAGGGGCGTTGCCAAACCATTTCTTTAGAAAGATTCCAACAGGGCTTGCTTCTGTTGTCTCGTTGCTGTACAACGAGTGACTCTTACATGGGAAGTCTTCTCCTTTGTGGCTATGTTCTCCTTCCCATGGTGCATTTAGGAGGACATCGCTGTCCACCACGGCCTTGCACTTCCACCTCGTCACCCTCATGGGGTCCAACACCTCCAACCCCATCACGGGTCTTGTGTGTCATGACTCAACAGAAGTTGAGGCATCTATAAGAGGAGGGAGAGTTCCAAGCGGTGGCACTTCCCTCTTCGTCAGACCTCCTCCCACCTCGTCATTGGTCTCAGGGTGAGTCAGAGATTGGTCTGGGAACCACATCTCACCACAGCAGAAGTTCCTGGCAGCATTGACTTCAACCATCTCTGCCCCCACGCACTCTCTGGTGGGGTGGCAAGAGGAAGAGAAGGGCCAAGCTGAAAATGTCAGTCTCTGGCTGGAAAACAAACAAAAAATCTAGTTGTGCCTAACATGTTTTTCTGATGGAGTAAAAAATTGCTTTTCCATTTGCTAAGAGCATTTCTCAATGTAAAATGAACTCTTCGAAGCCCTGCTTGCTGGCCAGTAAGTGAAAATGAACTTTTCTCTATTTTTCTGAAATGACAATTTAAAGCAGTTTTCTTTGACTTCTCTACTTGGGTGGGCAAGACTCACAGCAGGAATGTCTGCATGGGTCAGACCAAGGATTTAGCCTGAATCCCAATTCCTGCCAATGGCAAACAACTGGAAGGTTACAGAAAATGTATGATCGGAAGGGCAAGTATAGAGTAATCCTTCCCCAGGGCATTCATCTAGTGCCTGATGAATAACAAGGTAAGGACCAGGTTCATGAAGACTTGCATAAACTGAAACCTACAGCTCTTCAGTTCACAGAAATAAAACAGCTAAAACAACCATTGCAGTTTTACCCAGTGGTTCAAAGTCCAGCATTTTCTAGGTCCACCAGTGTTCATTTCCTGCTCTCTGTAGGGAGATGGCTCTGTGTTTTCCTAGATATTCCCAGCCTTCACTGTACCTTTTCCAGGATCCTATTCTTTGGGATCATAATATTCCTTTTTCTTTTGAATTTATGTGCCCTTTCTCTGTGTTTGGATGCATTAGCCGCATGTGAGCTTCAGAATTTGCCATGGGCCACCCAGTCTCACAGGATGCCGTGAACATCCTAAACAGACCGCATCCATAGGGGTGTTGAAATGTAGGTGTGGGTTTTCCCCATACAGCACTGAAATCCCGTTTCTGCAACAGTGGAAAGAGTTCTCCAAGCCTATATCATCTGGCCCAAGAGAAGGTTAGACCAGCAGTGAACATTCATCTGTCCATCATCAGGGGTGGAATTTGCCTCCTTCCTTCTTCCCACTCTGCTCACTGAACCACTGTGGAGTGTCAGCAAGAGATGATTCCTCCTTCACAAGCCCAGCAAGATGAGGTTTAGTGGATTGAGAAATGCATCCATGGGTACCAGCAGAAAATGCCTGCGTGGCTTTTAAAGTGCATTTAAAAAGAAGTTATTTCATCTCATGGTCTCACGTGTTGCCTGAATTTGTTGTGTCGCTAAATTGGTATATATACCTGTAATTACAAATACTTAATGGCTCGTCATTCTCAGTGCAGGGAGCTTCTTTATGCCATGAAAATACTGAATCAAGTTTTTCAGGGAATTAGGGAATTTCTGTCAATAAAAATAAATAATGCATTTATCCTTTAAAATAAGTTTAAATCAGCTGTTGTGGACTCGTGGAACACAAGTGTCGTGCAGGAAGTCTGTAGTTTGCGTTCCAATCCCATTACAGTTTTTAATTCAAAGTCTAATTTATGTATTTGTTTTTCTGCCCCACACAGGAATTGGCAGCCTATAATGCTGTTAACGCTCTTCAGTCAGCCTACGGTGTACGATACAGATATGGTCCTGCATCTAGCACTTTGTGTAAGTTTTCCTCCGGCACAGGCTTGTGACTTTGACCTACCTATAGTGAGAAGGAGATTACCTTTATTAAAACAAAGAAAGCAAACACTGTTTAAAGCGAACTTTGTTCCAGTTGTGGTTGGTGAGGAAGGCGGAAGATGAAGTTTTGTAACTGATTCAGGCAGTTGATTGCAGTAAGATTAACTCAATTGATGCAATAGAAGAGATTAAACTGCAATGCATTTGAGAGGCAAAATCCAGCAAGTAACATATAAAACCAGATATTATTTTAAAAAACAAACATAAAACACAATCTTAAAAAGCATATCTTTATCATGTACTGTAAACGCAATACTAAGTTACAGATTATTTGTGAAGAAATAATTCAAAATAGTTTTTGTTTTTCACCATTACTTTGCCTCTCCTTCTGTGCAATTGTGAGAGACAAAACTATTCCTAGAGCTCATTCTAAAATTTAGGATGATGTCTTCAAAAGCTCGGTTTCAAATGTCTCTGTGTCTAGATGATGATAAATGATAGCAATGGTATCTTTATTTGGACATCCTCCATTTTCCGGAGAGCGATTACAAGTGCATTTTTCTCTATAACAAAACTTCTTTAAAAGACGCTTTTTAAATACATAACAATATTTGTCAGGCAAGCTCTCCACGCAGACAGGTAAGAGAAAAAGAAGTTCAGTAGGTTTCACAGAATCAGAGAATGATGTGGGGTTGGAAGGGACCTCTGGAGATCATCCAGTCCAATCCTCCGCCAGAGCAGGGTCACCCAGAGCAGGTCCCACAGGAACGTGTCCAGGTGGGTTTGAATGTCTCCAGAGAAGGAGACTCCACCACCTCTCTGGGCAGCCTCTGCCAGGGCTCTGCCACCCTCCCAGGAAAGAAGTTCCTCCTCATGTTTAGGTGGAACTTCCCATGTTCCAGTTTGTGCCTGTTACCTCTTGTCCTGTCACTGGGCATCACTGAAAAGAGACTGGCCCCATCCTCCTGACACCCACCCTTTAAGCATTGGATTTCAGTGTTTCAATGAGACAGGGTTTTTTTACTGAAACTTTGAGGCCTAAAGGCTCTCGGTAATGATAACAGACATTGAAAAAGGGAGAAGCTTAAGTAAATAGCAAGATACAAGTAACCACCTGCATCTCCTCTGCTGTTCCTGTGTTCTGGATGGAGCCCCACCTCACTGTGGGCCTCCATCCCCACAGCATATTCATCACCTCGGGCTCATTACAGCGCAGGCAGTCGCTATGTCAAAGGAAGAGCAGAATTAATGCCAGAATTGCACAGGAGACAGCAGGCCACATGAGAGATGGATCTTTATATAAATATGAGTGTCTTGGGTAATCAACATATGGAGATAACGAAAGCATAAGAAGCATATTTCCTCGGGAAGGTTTGTTAATATTAGACACCACCTATGCAAATGCTCTCATGCTGTAAGGAAAGGCTGAGAAAACAAGACAGAAATGAAAAGAATTTTAAAAGCACTTTGAAAAGGAGAATGTAGATTACTTTATCAGCTTTATCCCTTCTCCCTGCGAAGGAATTGCCTAAAAAAAACAAGTTAAACTTAGGAGCCTGTAGAGCTCTAGTCCAGCTGGGAAACCTTTGTGGAAGCAAAGCGTTAGACTGCACTCATCTGGGGACAAGAACTTTATTTTAAATATTCTCTTTTATTAAGGTTTTGCTTTACACACAAAAAAAAGTTAGTTATTAATTTTTTTTCCCTGTGAAAACCAAGGATCTAATCCTATATTGTGCTGAGCACCTTTCACCAGGTGCCGGGCCCCCATGTCCTTCTCTGGAGTGTGTCCAGGATCAGGGCAAGCAACAGCTGGAGTTGCAAGTATATCCACTGAGTCCTGGGGACAAAGTACCACAAGAACCTGCTGGTGCTTTCAACACAACCTGCATTTAATGTATTTTAAAAATTTTCTCCCAATTCCCTCTTTCAGATGTGAGTTCTGGGAGCTCTATGGACTGGGCCTACAAAAATGGCATCCCCTACGCGTTTGCCTTTGAGCTGCGTGATACTGGCCATTTTGGATTTTTACTTCCCGAGATGCTGATCAAGCCAACCTGCACAGAGACCATGCTTGCAGTTAAAAATATAACTCTTCATCTGCTGAAGAAATGTCACTGAGAGCTATTTCTAGGAGCACTTACTCCCCAAGTGCTGATGCCTTGCAGTGTGTTTGGTTGCCATTCTAAGCTTGGCCACTTCAATATTACGGAAGCTAATGGGAAATGTGGTGGTGTTTCTACCAGATCTGCCTGGTGGAAAACCAAAAATATCATTTAATATCTGCGCTACAAAAGTCCATAAAGTTGATATACTAACTTAGTTACCAGTTTGGAGTAAAATAGTCTGTTATTTTTGCAATAAAGCTTTGATTCTGCAGCTCCAGCTGGGCAGGCCCAGGTCCACATACAGGTGCCTGAAATAAAACTCCACTTCCAGCCATTCCCTGGCCATACTGCTTTCCCTAGAAGGAAGAATTCCCTTAGTGAGGAGTCTCTCGAACCAAGGGATAAAGTTTACATTCATGTATATGTAGTGTGTCTAATGGCAGAAAATGTCAGTACTGTAAAATGTCAGTACATAGTAAATGACAGGCCTGTGGCAGTAAATGGCATATATTGCAGCTGGCCATGCTGCAAGTGGCAACGTGGCTTTGTTCTGCACATATACAGATATATGTATATGCACTTTTGCTATGGTTTTTTTCATGTAATGGAAGAATTTGACCCAAGGTTTCCTTTAACTGTTTAGCGAAACCTATTTTCAAATGTATATATTGTGGGGGGCAGGACTCAAGATCAACATATTGCCTTTGAGACATAACTTTCCTAGAGCTGCGTAAGAATGATAATGAAATATTATTGAGACATACAATACTCTGCTTTATGGAGAGACCAGAACTGACAAACCAACTTGCCATGACTTAGGACTTGGAAACAGGGGGTCGCCTGGTGCATCTGGGTTCTGCTCTAGTCAGCGTCTGCCCATTCCCACCAGCTGAAGATCTAGCCTTAAACTGTAATTACCTGATGTTTTATTTATCGGCATTCTTGCAGTGAGTTCTGTAGCTCTATGGCTGCGTGGCTGTTCTTCTTGGAAGGCGTATTTTTTGCATGTTTTAATGGAATTAATAATAGATTCTTAAGTGAGCCGGAGGTGAAAGCAGAAGCTTTACAGCTGAAATACAGTGAATAAGCACCATGTTTGAAAGAATATTAACAAAAGCACAAAGAATATAACAACTTGTTGAGGGGTTTTTTTGGTACTTTTAAAATAGTATTTTTTGATCTTATTATATCTGCAAAAGCATATATTTTACTTTATTAATTTCGAGTTTAATCTTATGCCATAACATGTTAAATAAAACATATTTGTTAATAAAATCATCAAAGGCTTTCAAAGTATTCTTGATATTTCATTTAAGTGTTAAAGCTTTAGTTCAACAATGTGACGATTTCACCTATCTATAAAATATTATTGACACCAAGAATGTGATATTTTAAAAAGCCTACATCTTCTCTAAGTAGTTCAACAATGTGACGATTTCACCTATCTGTAAAATATTATTGACACCAAGGATGTGATATTTTAAAACACCTACATCTTCTCTAAGTACTTGAACTTAGCAAATGGGCAACCTTTCTGAGGAATTAGATATTTATTTATTATGAGGAATTTGAGGTATTAGAAAACCCTGCATTTAATTAAGAATACCATTGTTTTCAGGACTGCAAAAGGCAACCAGTGAGCAAAGATGACAGAATTGCATTCCATTTGTTTAATATTTTGTTGTTAAAAAGTATTTTTTTTTAATCAAGCTTTCTGAAAGCTTGTTCAGCTTTGATTAGTTCAGACTTGTTTGAGTAATGCAAGTTTCTATTCTGGTTTAATAAAAATCGAGGGGACAGAAGCTCTCAAAATACCTATCCACCAGTCATTTCCAATTGCTTATGATCATAGCCATTAAATAGTTTGAAGACAACAGTAACTATCTTTTGCTATACACAGATTCTTGACCAGCAGTCTTGACAGTGGTGTAAATTAAATATTATCACCAGTAGTTGTGAGTTATTCTGGAATTAGGTGACTAGATGGAACTAATACAAGGACATAAGAGACTGAAGTGAAGGACAGAAGGCATAAGAGATACTAATCAGCATGAGGCAAATTTACCTCTAAGTTGCTACAGTAAAAATCTTTCCAAGTATGGGTCAGGAGAAACCAGACTCAGATGTGATGGTTTGACTCTTGCTTGTAGTCCAACAGTTCGTCATATGAAACATTTCAGCTTTATACCATCATGTCAGGAGAAACCAGACTCAGATGTGATGGTGTGACTCCTGCTTGTAGTCCAACAGTTCGTCGTATGAAACATTTCAGCTTTCTCTTTATACCATCACATCTCCCCTGGTACTAAAAAGTAATTGAACTCTTGGAGCAAGAAAGGAAAAAAAGAGACTAAGGCCCTCTTTTAGTTACTGAAAAGACCTAAGATTGTAGATCTAGTTGACCTCCTTGGACAGGAATAATTGCAAGTATTCTTACATTTATCTAAGAAGCTTTGATATTTAAAAGTGCTTGGTATCAAAACGAGTCCATGAATATAGCTACCTCCTGGCACCTGGATGGGCTCAGCCTGAACACTATGTATTATATGCAACTGAAAACTCTGACCTGAGATTTGAAGTCCTGTGCGGGGTAATTTGTTGCCCCATAGCTGAACACAGGTGTAAACAGCCTCTGAGCCCCCTAATTTCAGGGTCACTAAAGCTGATCAGAAAGAAACTCACTAGAAAAGAACAAACCCTATTTCCCGAATTAAGAATTTGTAAGACAATTTATCAGCAAGAACGATTCTAAACAGAGTAGTTTACCCTAAGGAAAGAACTACTGGAAATCAGCTCGCTGGATATAGAACGACAGCCTTTGTGACTTACAAATGTTACTTCTCTGAACAGCTCTTTTTTTATCTCCATAACTGCTTATTTCTCTTCCCTTTGTTCCTCTCTTCAGCAGTCTTTATTGCCTACAGGACCACAGAATCAATAACAGGTTTTGAGAAAAGTGAATTTATTTTGTGATCGGAGGTAGAGTTTATCATTCAACACAATAAAAAGTACATGAACAGCAAAACGCTGGTTATTAACCCAACAGTCAAAATCACATATATAATGATTATGTGAAATCCAGGAGTTATACTTCCATTGATTTTTAATTGAATAATTATAACTGCTTCTGTACCTTGGAAAAAGTGCTCAGACAAGGTTTTGTGAACATCTGTCCTTCTTTTTGATAGCTTTTAATTTTTATCAACAAAACCCTGAGATTAATTCATGGGAAGGAAACAGGCCTGTATCTCTGCAATTCACCCTTCCCAACAACAAAAAAAAATATCCCAAATGAAAACTTATTAAGATTCCAAATAACTTAGAAACATCATTAATAAATTCATTAAAAATTGACCTTTATAGGTCAAAAAGAGTATTGAGTTTTGGCTGCAAAACTTGAAGAAAGAGCACAGCTGATGGGTGAAGATCGTGAAGATCCCCATGTCTTTTTCAGCAGTTGCTTCAGAAAGGCCAATGTATTTGGTCAGTCATGTAACAGGCAAAGCCTATGGAAAAATTCTTTCTCAAAATTTCTGGAATTTGAATAGAAACAGTCCAAATGACCTTGAATGCCACCATGCATTTACTGTGAAACATCCAGTGGCAGTCCTCTTCTCTGCAACCAGCTGCGGTGAGCAGATTGCGCTGCCTACTCAAGGAGACTGCACAAAATAGCTGTTTATTGAAAAGACTGCATCTAATTCTTAAAGTTAAGAAGAAAGCACTACATTTCCTATCCAAACCTGGTTACCATTTACTATTCTAGCTTATTCATGTCAAGCAATCCCTTCTCTTTTTATGTTTATATTCAATTTAATGGTATCACTCAAAGAATAAGATACTTGTTAGCATTAGTAGAGCAGGTAACAAGCGATAGGACAAGAGGAGATGGCCTCAAGTTGCGCCAGGGGAGGTTTAAATTGGATATTAGGAAGAAATTAAGGTTATTAAGCATTGGAACAGGCTGCCCAGGGAAGTGGTGGAATCGTCATCCCTGGAGGTATTTAAAAGACAGGCAGACGTGATGCTGAGGGACATGGCTTTGCAGTGATTTTATCAGTGTTAGGTTGATGGTTGCATTCGATGGTCTGAAAGGTCCCTTCCAACCCAGGCAGTTTATGATTCTATGATTCTATGATTCTATGATTTACTTATGTGATTAGAAGTCAGATGCTACCATTTTCATGCAGTTCTTAAGTGATGGTTAAACACCAGAATATCTCAGATGTGCAGAGATACAACTCCCCCTCTGCTGTAGAAAACAGGACAAGAGAACAGAAATTCAAATAAATTACAGAGAGAGTTTTCAAATATAAACCCCATGACATTAGCTACACTTCTTCCAAAAACATTTTTTTTTCACTGCAAAAAAAAAAAATTTCTGGGTTGTAAACTTAAAGATCTTCTGTCCACTGAAAATGGAGACCAGTTGGCGTGTCTGATGTATCCCGATTCTCGTACTCATCCAGGCTAAGAAATCAAGGGCCAGAGAGCTGTAATTGCTTCCCCCTTCAGCCGTGTAGGAGGAAAGCTGGGTGTGGGGAGAGCTGCCTCCTGGCTGATTGCAGCGATGAGGCTTTCAAGCCTTGTCAGCAGCCTGAAGCCTGGAGCACACACGCTGTTGATGGGTCTGTCTTGGATGAAGGTGAACTACTCCGGAGTGGTTATTGGAGTCCTCGGCTCAACGTGCCTGTCACCCCAAGCTGGGCGAGCAGCTTGTCAGAAATTCCCAGCCTCGGGCTGCGTGTGGTGTCAAAAGGGCTCGCCTTAACAACGATGTCTTCTGTGAGCATCTGCAAATCTGGGATAACCAGTGTCAGAGGCAGTGTCTGGGATAACCAGAGCCAGCTCACCAGTGTGGTGAGCTAACACTCCTTAGCAAATGATGTTTGGGGCGAGGACATTTGGAAGAGGTGAATATTTAGCCCCCGAATTGACAGGCCGGAGCGGTCAAGCAGAACATCTTGGCTGTCTCCACTTGCAGATCCTTTCCAGCCCTTCCCCTGAGAGACCGAGACAAGCACGGCAGGGCTTGCCCTCGGATTTAGACATCAGGGAATGCACTCATAAATAATAGATTCAAATGTTAATTAAAAAAAAATAGAAATAAAAATCTGCCACTGTCCCCCAGCCCTGCAGAAAGCGCACTTCGCCTGCCACAAAGAAAATGCATCCGTTGCCATAAAGAGATGGAGTAATATATTTTATCCATCCTGCCCGCTCTCAGAGCCCGGCCACCTTAGCACTGCTCGGCGTTATTGAAAAAGACACGGGGCAGAAGAGCCCATAACAATGAAATATTTCAATCTGCCCCCAGGCCTGTGGGAGCACGGACTTTATCTCGTGTAATAGATAACCGCTTCTGAAATAAATACTGTGGTACGACTGCGAGCAGGTGTTTTAATCTTTCATGCCGACTACTACGTGTGAGGCCATTCCTCTGCACACCAGAATGGCTCGATGCTGGGAGAGCTGTCTCCTTTTTTAACCAAACACCGATCCTTTTACATTTTTTTTCAGAGGCCATGCCTCTGCACACCAGAATGGCTCGATGCTGGGAGAACTGTCATCTTTTTTAACCAAATACCGATCCTTTTCAATTTTTTTACCAGTTCTGAGCAGAATATCAAGTTAGGTCTGAAGATATATATGTGTGTATACATACATATACAAAAGAGTCTGGGAAAGTTTCATTTTATAACAGAATGTTCAATTTGCTTGAAAATAATGCATGTTAAAATCACAGCCAGAGTTTTCAGGCGGCTTATTGTTTTCAGCATGTCATAACTGAAAAAAAACCCCACCATAGCAGCCTGAAAAGCTGAGCAGACATGACTGATCTACTTACTGTTTCGTTTCCCTTGTTTCACTTCACTTTGTTTCTCGATTGAGAAAATCTGGGTTGATTGGGCTGAAGTGAAGGAGTGCAGTCAAAAAAGCTGAGTGTAGAGGGTTCTGCTGTGCTTAATGAGCTATAAATAGCTACTTTAAAAAAAAAACAAAACAAAACAAACCACCCAACTTGTTATATTTTAAGTTCTTTATAAAGACTAATTGTGTTTGAATAAAATCATCACCTTCACAGAACTTAGCACGGTTTGGAATGGTGAATTGTTATTTTCCTGCAAGCCAGCCAGTTTTTGCAAGGGTTAAATGAGCGAAACGCCTGCTTAGTGTGGCAGGAGAACCAGAGCTGCTCTTTGGCCCTGTTAGCACAAAATCTGTCAAAAAGGTGAAATACACTCGAGCCTTATCTAACAGGATAAATTTGCTCT